AGCTTGCACATGATTATTTTAAACCGCCACTCATCTATAAGCTAATTCACTTCGCTTGATGGAGTTTTTGAGTCAAAAGCGAAACGTTGTAGAGTATAACAAATACGCTAACCGGTCGTTTGCTAAATTTTTTGAAACCACAAACCAGTTATCTATGCCCCTCTCCATACTCACTTCCGCCTCCTCTCACAATGCCCTCTGCGAGCCCTTCGGCAATAACACCCTATCCACTAAAACTTGATTGCCCCAAATTACAACAGCATTCTTTTTGAATTTCCCCGTCCCCTTCTAATTCCGATAGAACTGGCGAATCTCACGGTAAGAGATTTGTTGCGGAAGACTCTAGAACTAAGGTGATTGGGTAGAATGATGAACACCGCCAAGACTTTTTAAGACTAATGATACTTAATATCTGTTCTCTGTTGAATAAACTTCATTTACTCTGCACCTTCATATGCCTGAATAAATCTGATATGATTTTACTCACTGAAACCTGGTGTCATGATTCTATGCCCAGCCAGCTGCTTTCTGCCGACAGTTACAAGGTTATTAGAACTGATAGAAAGCAAGGCAGAGAAGGTGGTTGCATAAGTTACTACACGCGAAACTCCCTTGTCTCTAAATTCACACTTCCACTTATATGCCCAACTATTGATTCGGCTTGGTTACTCTTGTCCTTCGGTAGTAAGCGAACGCTTGTAGGCTGCATTTACCGCTCACCCGGGGGTCAGCCTCAGTGGCGAGAACCAGTTGGTTGATATCTTTAATTACATATCAGGACTTAGTTCTTTTGATAAAGTCGTTGGCGGAGATTTCAAACCAAGCAGACATCTGTTGGTCCAACTTAGTAACAAACGCGAAACATGCTGAGTTCATAACCTCTCTCATCACTGGTGGTTGGGAGCGACATGTTCTCGTGGCTACCAGGAGTAAAAATATACTAGACCTACTTTTTTACTTCATGCACGCCCCCGATAGCTACTGATGTAATTGACGGTCTCCCAGGATGTGACCGCAAAATACTCGGATGTAAAGTCAAAATTGAGTCGTCGCCGTGGTTCCACACTTCCAGCGAAATGTCAACTGGGTAGCTTTGTCCGCACTGCTTAGGGTCAAAAATGGGACCAGTTCTTTCTTTCAGCTGATATTCAGGGAGCCTCTGACATCTCTCATGACAATGTGAGTATGTTCTTAAGCATGCTTGTCTCCAGTGATAATACGAGAGCCTCTTCTAAGTACGTTACCAACGCAAAGGACAAGTGGAAAATACGAGTGCTAACTCGAACTTATGAATGTACTCACGACTTCAGCGTATTACTGAGAATCCAAGACCCTATAATTGAGACGGACATATCACGCAGGAAGAACAACGGGCTGTAAATAGTAGTAATACAAGTCAACTGCTGACTGTATTTTGAGAAAAAGGAGAGGCGGTAAAATTGACCTACCCTCCCACATCGTCATGCCTGAAGGTGAATGTATTGGTTCTCCAATTGCTATAGCAGAAGTCTTTAGCTCATACTTTGCTGAATGCTTTAATCTTGAAAAAGAAGCGCTGGAATTGTCAACCTCGATTAACCTCTGAACAAATCTCAGCGATCGATCTTAGTGTCGCTACGATAAAACACGTTTGTCTGTCTACGGCCATCCTACAGACCCGGCCCCGATGGGATCTCTTCTGCTTTAGTCAAACAGGATAGAGATGATACCCCTTTTCTGTTATTGAATAGCTTCTTTTTCTCTCTCCAGTCTGGTCAATATCCCGAACGTTGAAAAAGGTCTACGGTCATAACGAGGGTGGAAAACTGACATTCGGAACTACCGACCCATTAGCCACACAGCCACTCTCCAACACATTTCAAGTAGAATTGTTGAGGAACATTTGGTTTCGGTCCTATTATCAAAGCACCTTCTCTCACCTTCACAGCATGGATTTCTGAAGTCTGGCTCGTGTGTTACCTGTCGAGTAAACTTCCTTAACCATCTAACTGAAGCAATTGACTCAGGTCTTCAGTGCATTGTCATCTTCCTCGACATGCAAAAAGTGTTTGACAGAGTCCCACACAAAAGGCTGCTATATAAATTAAGTAAGTACGGTGTGACAAATCCGCTCCACTCTTGACTCCAATCGTACCTAGGAGGACGGTCGCAAGTTGTGAATATAAATGGTGACGTCACTTCACCTCGTATGGTCACCAGTGGAGTGGTACAGGGTATTTAGGTCCGTTACTCTTCCTACTATATATAAAGGACCTAGCTCCTGTCATACAATTTGGCAAGACTTATTTGTTTTCTGATGATCTAAAGGTTACTTACACGTTCCCAAGTTCTCAGCATACCGCTGAACATAACAATATCCAAAGCGACTTGAAAGCCATTGAGATATAGGCTGAGATGTGGCAGATGACGTTTGCAACATCGAAGTGTAGTGTTCTGGCGTATGGATGTCAGATGGCAGCAGAAGTGTTCAGACTTCATGACGAAGTCATTCCCACCAGCCAATCTGTCCGTGACTTAGGTTTGAGATACACTAATTCGTTAAACTTTAGTGAACATACAAATCATATCGTGAAAAAGGCTAAGCAGTCGGTCGGGCTCATATGCCACCTGCTAACCTTGAAAGAAACCAGACTAATTGATTTCAAAATCAGTACCAGATCTTTGCTTGAATGTTGCTGTGCTGTGTTCAGTAACTTGCGAAAGTGTGATTTGAGAGCCTTTGAAAACGTTCAACTCGCCTTCACGAAGCGTATATTTGGTTATTCAACCGCTCTTTCATACAGATAGGTGCAAGGAGCTGAATCATGAATCTGTGGTTACGAAGAATGCAATTAAAACTGTTCTTCCTTCACAAACTCGTGTGGCGGAAAGCAAATGTTAGAACCTATCAATTGCACTTTCGGCAAAATACCAGTTATGAACTGCGAGATAGGGAATGGATAGTCTCTACCTAAGGAAAAATTTACTTTCTTAGGTATGGCTCCATATGGAATAAGTTGCCAAAAGAGATTAGATGTACTGAACATTTTTGCATGTTCACGAAAATGATAAAGATTTATCTGTCAACCGGTAGTGAAATGGATCTTAAAAATGCAAATTGATGAAAAGCTGTATGAAGAATGGACGGATCATGTATGATACCGAAGAAGATCGACTGGAAACATGTTCAACAAATGCACCAGAGCAAACTTGATCATCTAGGATGAGCTGTTACAACCGCTTCTCATGCTATTCTTTAACGCAACTTCCTATGTGGTTTACTCCTTTCAAACTTAATTCATACCAAATGTCTCCTGATCTAAAACCGAGTAAAATTATTGGCTGGCATGGGGCCAGGAACTAGCTTTGTAATCCTCCCCGCAGACTAACTAATTCGTAATATTTGTTCTACGATTATTGAGAATACTTGTAGCTAGGGATGTGGATGAGAAGATTGTTGTGTTCTCCGAGCTAGGCAATTTTGTTGTAGACGTTGCCTAGTTTGGCAAAGAAACGTGTGCAACAATAGCGCCTATCTGGAAGAACACAACAATGCTCTCTAGTTCTGCGATTCCCTTCGATGCATTTGTTCTGTAATGCTAACCATTTCCCCTTCTTTTCTAGAGTTAACAGTACAGAAAACATATACCGAATTTCAATGATTGTAATAACGGATTCCCTATTTAACTTTTTGCCTATGGACAACTAGTGTAATTATCTGTCTTCGGCTGTCACGCCGCAAAATTCGATTCATTTTTACACTGGTGTAAAAAATATGTACTTATTTTTATCATTAACAATTTTATACCTATTGCACTTAATTTTTCTTATTTTACATTCTTCCTTATTTCATTGTTGGCCACGATTGGGCTGATCTCCTGAGGTGACGGATTATAGCTTCCAGAATATAAAAGACTATACCTATGCAAGACACACTGCCACCAAATGACTGGCGTAGAAAAAGTGCCCTAATTGAATGATCCGCTGAGGCTTCATCGCCCATAAAGCATGCATAAAAGCAGCCCTAAAAAGAACAGAACATATGATAAACAGGTGATGGCTCATATGCTACTATGCCACACCGGCACACGGTCAGTTATTGCATGGAAATGCGGGCGGAATCTTTCGAGGGAATAACGTGTATGGAAGCACGTCTACTGGAAACGGTTCCACGGCTGGCTGTATTATTTAACCTGAACATTTGTTTAACTTTGTGTTTGTACTTGTTTCCGGCGTTCCAATGTCTTTAATACCTTAAACCTGCCAATTACTTTAATAACCGTTTTTGGCCCATTGTATAAAGCGTGAACAGTTGAGTATTTTGTGCAATCCTGCTGCATACATTGATCAGACCACATGCTTGTATTGTGCCTCGCATCGCCGAGGAATATATCATTTATTTGCTTATATATTTATCACCCTATTTCCAACGGGCGAAGAGGCAGAAAGCCCACACAGTCAGATGGTAATCCTTGCGACGAATGACGATACCCGTGCAGTCACTAGGTGTATCACTTGCATATGATGTCCTAAGTAAATTTACCAAGAGTTCCTGCGGTAATCCACCGAGTGTCTTCTTGACCACTAGAGTTTGGTATATGCTTGAATATATTGCGATTATTTGGAACTTCAGACATAGATGACGATATCATAAGCAAATAGCCCGTTTGACCCCCGGGTGTAGTGTTTTGCATCATAATGACTGGAAGCACCGCTAGCACAAACTAAAACGCCAAGTATAGCAAAAAACATGAATATTACGAAAAATCAATAATCTCTGAAATGGAAGGCACAGACACCTGACAGAGAACAACGAAGGATTTGGTTAACACCACCAAAGGCCTTTTGACTGTTAATTGAAGGTGTCATCTTCTGAGTATTCAGATAATGATGGTTAGAAACACAACATGAGCAGAAAAATAAGACAGCAGCCAAATAAATAAGCAAACGAGTGGGTTTAATTCCACACGGAGCAAAATCCGCATTCAAGTAAGAACCAGTTAGTGTGCTTAGCAACTTACAAAGCGTACAGCGGCACCTTTACCTTGGTTCCGGAGTAATCTCAGGACTCTGACTTTATCAGTTCCATTAACCCGTGAGCATTCCATAGCGATCTAGGGTAAGAAATAAATAAATTCAACATAATACTTCAAAAGTGCGATCCGAACTTCCATCATCTACGATAATGAGCTCGAAGGAATATTTTGGATTGTACTCCTGCAGCATATCTTCAAAGGGTATTCTGTATTACTTTTCGTTTGTCCAGGTAGCTTAAAGTTTCCTGAAGCATCTTAGGCACTAAAAGAACGATGAGCAATGAGGCAACAATCTTACGACGATCCTCTTCGTTATACGCAGGTATAACCACAGAAAGTTCCACAGTAGGACGGTCTTTCAGGTTTAAAGGGAACCTGATATATTCTGAGGAAATAGGGTCAATAAAGCACTCTTCCAAAGACTCCCGACGGACACAAGGGTACGGGTCGGTAAACAAATAGATAAATATAAGAAGCTATGGCAAATAATTGGAATAAACCGCTTACGATAAAGGTTATTATTACAATCACCGTGGTCACGGAAACTAAAGAAAGAAGCCATAACTCTAAGGCCATCGAATGGTGATGTGTAATGATCCGAGTGTAATGGAATGATTCCAATGAGCTAAAAGGAGAGAAGGTACGCCTTCGAGTCATGCAGCCACGATGAAAAAGTATCGCAGAGGAGCAGGAAGCAGAACTGGGAATGGGAAAACAAATACGGGCACAAGCGAGAGAAACTATACAGGCGTGTAACGAAACGAGAGGATACCCAAATATAGAAAGTAAGGTACGTGGTCATCTAGATGCCAGTTTGTTTCGCAGAATACGTATGAGTTCAGCTGTGTGCGACTCGTAGGAAAAGAATAGAATAATGAATGCTAGAGTGAAGTCCAGTGTGCTTGTTGAAATCCGCTGTATTACAGGCATAAAAAATCGTTCCGTTGGTGGTGTACTCAACAGCCTGCATTATTGAGGTATTCGGCAGGGTAGTTTATTTCGGGTGGTCCGGTCGCGTCTGGGACAGGTGAACCTGAGATATGTGGGGGATGAAATGTAACACAACAAATCGATCATCTTGATTTGCATTGAAAATGTTACGAGCTAAACCACCATATGCCCATTCAGTATGAAGTGATAGAACTCCAGTGTCATACCCACCTTGGAAAGCTTTTGAAAATGTTTTCAGATGGACTGCAGCATTCGACCACCCCGTTCCCATGTAGAGTATGAAGTAGTTTGAGTCAACCAGATGCACAGAAGGTAGACAGCGAAAAAACAAAAATTTCGCCATTTACGAAGACATGGAGATCGTGTTAACAGGACACGACGTAGATGTGGATCTGCTCCCAGGTGAACGACTTCCTGACTTGGAGTATGCTGACGACATTGCCCACATTTGTGAAGGCTCACAAACGTGCCAAGCGGGACTGGACAGGTTAGCACTGGGCATAAGCCGTTTTGGACTATGCCTTGCACTCTCGAAGTGCAAAGCCTTCCTCCACGATTGGCAGGGACCGCATCCTGCGCTGACCATTAGTGGTGATCGGTTAGAAGTAGTCCAGAAATTCATGAATATTAACGCCTGTGGAGTAGGCGATGAGATCACGAACCGCATAGCAAAAGCTTGAAGCGCTTTTGACAATCACCGTCACCTGTGGCGCCGGTGTGACATCTTTCTCGCTATAAAGAGCCGAAGTTACAATGCAACCGTCCATTCAACCCTACTGTATGGCTGAGAAACCCCGCCCAAAAAATCAACATACATAAAGAGGCTAGTTACGTTCGATCATCGTTACTTTCGCAGATTATCCTATGTCTGGTGAGGACACCGCGTGAACAATGAGCGTGTTCCGCGTCGTGTATTCGTTGCAAGGAGAGCAAGTGAACCGCTCAGCCCAATTATATCACGCACCAGGCCACGTATTGAACACACTAGCACATCGACTCCTGAGAGGTGCGTTGTCTGCGCGACCCGGGTCTGCACGGAAGAAAAGGAGGGGAGGCCAAGCGATGACTAGGTCAAGAGTAATCAAAATACTCACTCGAAATTGGCATCGTTTGGCGTCTCCAGACTGCTAAACTGGGGTCCGAAGGACGATAAACATGTTTGGTTGGACAGCCTTGTTGGCATGGCCAGGACCCGACCTCAATGGCGTTTGTGTTGTGAGTTTCTTCGTTTACCCTCCCCTTTAGTTTCTCCCTCCAACCGCGATATGATAACTTTCTAGTTTTTCCTATAGGCTTTTTAAAATATCTTTTGTATTGCGACACAATAGCTGAAGTGTGTCTCTCGCCTTCAGCTGATGATGTTGATCATTCTGAGTAGAGTCGAATGCACTACGCCAACAAGCCTCGCCTGCGCCATCTGTAAGCCGATAAATTCCACACAAAAGTCGGCAACTTTAGACGGACAAGTTGAAAGGTCGCGTAGGTTGAGCACCGCAAAATTCCGGGCTGGCATCACAAAGGATCACAAAAATCTTTGTAATTAAGTTCCTTTTGCGGATCATAGATACCATAAATGACGAGAATGTTTGTTCTTCTGTAACCTCGTGAGAAATGATGCCATATTTCCGTCAATAAAAGGTAAACGTCTCAGAAATCATTTAAAGCAAACAACAAAATTAAAGAGTGGGCTATCGTTGGTCGACAACAACGCATAATGCTCTGCTTGAAGGTCGGTGCAGCGTCTGTGGTATTAATGACCGCAAACGTCACACTGCATGCCCCTAGAGTCGTCCGTTACGTGATACGAACAATCTAAGTTGTCATAGATAGTAACGTATTAATCCAGCGACTCCGAAGACACAATAGTACAGTGTCATGTGAAGCCGACGTGTTGATTGAGAAAGCATTGAAGGAGAAACAAGAACGTAAAACCGGTGAGCTAATACCTGCGAAGCAATCAACAAGAACGGTAATTAACCATAACGGGTGCAAAAGGTTAGAAAATGCAAAAATGCCGATAAAAGTAGCCAAAGCTGACCAGAAAAAAACAGAATGGAGACGATCAATAAGTACCTGAGATCGGATACTCCTTCAACAACGATGATAATCTAAAATTTAGTGAACTGAAGAAAACTTGACAAATGCTAACTTTTCACACTATGCTTCTGAGACCAATATTTTCAAGCCGTTCTTTGAAGGCAAAAGCCTGACAGCACGCACAAAACTCCAAGTTACCGTCAAGCGAAGTCAACCAAAGAATTGGTCGAGGATTCATCCCATCCCATTCAGGACAAACTGGAGGTGAGTTTTATTAGTGAGAACTAGGTTGCTAGAGGGGTTAAAGAAACTAACGTACCCCGAGCGCCTACTTAGTTTAGGAATGCATTCACTGCACTAGAAGAGACTTAATTCCAACCTACCGTATAGTAACTGGGAAAGTTGATCCGGATCTGATTTGGTTATTTCATCACCCCAGATTGTTTGATTACCGCAGGTATTGCTGGACAAACCGCGGTCTGATCGGATTAGGGTGAAAACTCAGCTATCACGCCGAGCTATCGAGCACTGAGACTCACTACCAGAAAGTGTTATCAGAGAATCTACGGTTAGGGAACTTGAACTTAAACTGAACGAGCTCAGGTGGCAACATGAAACCTTCCACTTTTCCTGACCAAGTCTCATCTACATACTTTGATTTTCCTTGCTGTGCATTTCTTCACCCGCTGGTATTATCCTATTTTCAAATGATCTTTATCACTTTTTCTCCATTTCTCTAGCTAGCCCTTGCTGACCTCACGTAACTGACACAGTAGAGACTGCTGGTGCAGGGAAAGTGGGCGGAAAATGATTGACTACGGTGTGATTCCGGTTTTCCGTTTGAGATCCATCAAGATCTCGAAGCACCTAATCAGTTCCTGACTCAACGATCCGCACAAAAAGACACTCAGGACCCTTCGACCGCTCAAGTTCCACTTGAACTTGAGCTGGATGGTCCGCAGCTTGATGAGCCTCCTGGCAATATCAAGAAGATCCTGTGGGAAGAGCATGGTCACACAGGCTTTAAACCAAGCAAGGTCATACAGCATACGTTCGGTGGGAAGGGTAACAGTGGATTAAGTGACGTTGCTCAAAAGTACACTGTTCTGTTCAGTTCAACTGAACTGCTATGATCCGAGCACCGAAGTGTGGTGAATCCAGTTGCCAGGACTCACATCGCAAGGATAACAATAGATGAGGCTGAATGCAAACAGAATGTAAAGGAAATGGAATCAAGGAGATGCGTTAAAATAATCAGGATGGCCGGCCATGTGGTAGCCGAGTGGTCCGCGCGTCTGGTTTGCGACCAACCCGAATCCGCGTAGGGGCGGGCGTCCTCGCGGTATACTCGGCCCAAGCGTGACTGGTGGTCGCGCAGCAGCAAAGCGCCATCAAGGTGTACAGCTGACACATTAGTTAGTTTTAGTTTTTATTTTAATTCAGTATGGCATGAAAATTAACAATCGGATGCAAGAAACCGAACGCACGAACGCCACTGACTGCGTGATTGCGTCATGTGCGAAAGGGTTTCCAAGCATTGGTATGAACTATTCCGAGTTCACATTCACGATGACGACATGCTCTAGTCTGATCAAGTCTCAGTCAATTTCTGCATGCCACTATGCCCCGTTATGGACCGGCCACCTAGCGCTTTCGCCCAACTTGGTGCGGCCAAGCCGTATAATGCACGCCGAGGAAGTCGATCGACGGGCATACGTAGGATACGACGAAGCCAACGTAAGTGAATAAGATTCTGTAAACACTCGAGAAGACATCTTGTTAAAAACCAACTGATGGGACCTCCGCATTCATGACCCGGTATTATCACTAGATGTGAGCAATACTCTACAAACACCGGTGGTCAAACACGGTTCGCCGTTTAATGTCTTCACGGGTATTTTTTCGACGTTGTGCAGTCAAGTTCACCAAACAAAGTCGGACAGATTAGTTGGAGTTAGGAGAGCTCTGAGTTGTACCAGGCCAGAGGTCTTTCTCCTCTTGTATAAAGCAGTGGTTAGACCACATCTGGAATACTGTGTTCAGGCGTGAGCGCCCTTTATTGACGCGTCTTTTAGGTGAAGATATAGTGAAGTATTTTAATGAACACGTGCAACAAAATTTCACTGTTGTCAAATTTTTCTCTCGGGATATATGACATCCAAAGGCCGTCCAATTTGCCCTCTGCGAGAGATGGACGCACATAAGGTGCTGTAACATTGGTCATGATCTCTAGCAATGTTTTCAGCACACTACCTCCAAAAGCAAAAACTATCATTGCGAAACGTGTCTAGCAGTGGTTAACGATACAGAAGTTCTGATGAAGCTACGCCCCTTTAGCGAACATACTGCTACTGCACAAGCTGTCTAACTCTGATTGCGAAACACCTGTTTCATCTGTGTGCCTGCCCGGGTCTGCTTACCCTACGCCCAAAGGGAAAAGAAGCCGTGCCTCATCCACCATGTTGGCAGGAACACCGTTGCCCGTCGAACCTGCCAATCTAGCACAAAATCGAAGCCGAATCTCCTCCTCTTCCTCAGAGGGTACACTACTAACGCAAGGTAGTGTCTGCAAAGACCAATTGAATGCAACTAAGCCAAAAATAACGACGAGGACTTATGCGGCTGTGGCGAGCACAAA